CACTAAATATGTTAGAATTGATAAGTTACCGAACTGATTTTCTTAGTAGATATGGCAGTGGATAAACTGAGACCCAAAAGCAAAAATTTTACACATAAAAATACTGAACTAGATCCTCAACAAATCAACAGCAACAGCTTTATCTAATACATTTTTGAATTTACTTCCAAAACTGTGAATTTGAATGCTACATACTACTAGATTCAGTAGTAATGCAATGGCTCAAAACATGCCTATCAAACATGACCATCACCTTTCACTCCAATGGTTCACCTGTCAGGGCCTAGCGAGTTAGGATGGTGATAGTGAAGACCTTAGGATGGAGGTTTAGTAGCACATACTTCTCTTTCATGGATGACCGTGGAAGGCTAAACGAGCTCCATCTGTCGCGAACGAAGAAGTTCCGTGATGAAAAAATAAAGGTTCATAAAGTGATTTGTTGTGATGTAATTTGTATTTACAAAGTTGGATTGTAACAAAGATTTGAAAACTATTTAAATTCTCTGTATATGTAGGGTGTTATCAGTGTGCATAGAATTGTATATGTGATTATTGTCTTGCAATGTGCGCTAACAAAGAACGCTACACTAATGTGTGCTAACAATATTAAGAAGTGAGCGAGCCCATTCTACCCGTGGACAAAATTTGTCTGATTCTTCATGGAAGACCTTACGGTAGACATATCCCACCGCTAGCATATTTCACAAGCTTTTAAGGGCACGCAAGCTTCTAACATCAACTTAATGGAGGAAAGCGAACAAATGATATCAGATCAGATTTCAAGCCGTTCACGGGTTCATATACACTCTACTTGCGAAAGCGTACTCATCTGCTAGGAGGAAGTCACTTGCATTTGTGTATATGCATCTTCGAATCTATTTAATCTGTGGGAAAAGTGATATGGGGATTGTTTTTGGTTCAGGTTGCTTTGCGAAACTACAGTCACTGAATAAGGAAGTTCCAGAGATGCTTGCAAATTTCCGTTTCAAATAATATCTTGATTATGAAGCTATTAACGAAGCAATCGGGTAGTGTTAATGGTATATAATGGAAATCGGGTGGCAGGAGATAAGTGAAGAAGGATCTATCCCTCTATTTCTTAGCGTTTTCTATTTAAAGTTGGGTTGCCAAATAACGTATGGGCTGGTACATCGATGGGCTTAGTTTCATCCTCATTTTTTTGCACTTTTTGCCAAGAATACGTGAAATAAGCAGAATATATTGAACACTTTTTGTGCAAATACATTAACATTTTGTTAATGGTTCATTTCGATCCGATTCCAAATCGGGCATCAAGTTATTCAAGCACAGTTCTCAAGAGCTGCTGGAACACCCACGTTTGGCTCATTCAGTCCCTCGCCCTTGCAACTATGAATTGCTTTTACTGTCGAAAATTTTGCAGATGTAATTCTAATTTTTCCATGTGTTAATTAAGCACTTCAGAAATGGGCAGCACTAGAAGACAACATATGTGGATAAATAAGCCAAAATATTCTTTATTGGCGGTAACCTTTACACTTGATTTCCCATTTTGAATGGCAGCCGTTTTGATAAAACGGGTTTTTGCTTACTGATCTTTCATAAATGTTAGTTATGCCCGAAAAAGTACCAACTTTTTGAATTGTTTTTTCAAATAGCAAACGGGAAATTTGATGCAGTACAGTAACGTATCAGCTATTACCACTGCTAATTATATCCATCTGCTATTACCATTTTATTGCTATTACTTCAATTTAGATTTTCTGATGCGTTCCCTGGAATTGCTGCTAACAAAAAAACGGAAAAATAGATATTAATAAATTTTCAAAACAAAGGATATTAATGACTCTCTTTTTTCACACGTTTTTGAGAAATATCTACTAATTAAGACATCAAAATGGTTCCTCCATTACGGTTTTGGTTTTGTATAATTGTCAATATAGTTACTGTAATAAGTCTAGAAAGAATGTATTGCAATAAAATTATTGACAGCAATCGGATGGATTTGTCCAGTTGAATGGTTTGCGTTTTTTTTTTTTATTCATGATGATTCCCTCCTCACATCCTGCCGCGCCACAAAAGAAATATATATTATTCGTTTTTGTATATTCGAAAGTACAACCAATAAAAGCCTGTAACATTGCAACAGCATCGTTTGAAGATATTGTGTTGCTATTGTTAGAAAAGAATTCAGGATTAGTTTAGTTTTTCCAGACAAAAAAAGAAAGAGAAATGATTTACTTCTGCATCTTATCATTTTGGGTAGCTTGACAACATATTGATGTTAGCAAACTGTTCAGTTCAGAATACAAGTCGATGCATCGAAAATGGCCAGTGAAGTAAGGGGACGAGCATCGAGAAGGAAGGTGATAATCAAACTTTGTGACGGATGTCACATGGCGTCAGCGTCGCTCAGGTAAGCCAGGGGAATAAATGGAGAAAGGCGGGCAGTAGTAGTAAAACACGCAGCAACTGTAGATAATTACAAGGTCACTTTCCGGTTTCCGCCCACCAGCTCCTTATTAATGAATCAAAAATTCAGAAACATACGTGGCAAGCATAACACTGCAGTCTCGAGAACAACGCAATGCTCCATTTACTACCTATTCTCCTTCTAGCTTCATTGGCTTCGGTTAGTGTTTCCAATGTTATTGGAAAAGTTAATCTACATCGTATCTTTATTTCACAATTCGAAGTAGCCAATGGTTAAACATCCTAAAAACTCAGAATCAGACGTAATACCCTCGGACCAACTTGCAGTATGTGATTACGGCAGAGACAGTTCCTGCGCATTAGCTTAATTAGAAGAAATCAATTAAGGAATTCCAATTCCAAAATGAAAGTAGGATAAAGCAAAGTCGAAGATAAGGTACTACGTTTAGTTATTTATCGAACATTACTTAAAATATTTGGTTTTACGTCATTTGCATTGTATGATTCTACAGTTATCCCTCGAATGAATGGATCGTTCTCCCGATGACTCTTCTATCGCAATGAAAAAGCAAAACTTTGGACAAAATTTGTACATTATCATTCAATAATACTTCTTTATAAACATTTGTCAATGAAATAAATTTTTTTTTTTTAAATTAGATAAGGTATTACAGGAAAATCGATTGCAGGAGAACTGCAAAAGGATTGAGATAATCGTGCAAAAATACAAAGCACTTGGAGCATCGGAAATAGATGAAGTCAAAAATGAACGATACGATTTTCGGTGAAGAGCATTTTCGTATTTTGTCTGTCTATAATAATGTTGTCGTAATTAAACACTGATACTGATCATACCACACTTATAGTGTCTGTGTAGTTTTGCGTGACTGAAGTGAAAATTTTTAAAAAATGACGTTAATCCGGGCCATTATTCCATTTAAACATATTTTATGTTACCGACTTGTTCAGCTACCTTTCTAGATCCTCTTTATAAAATGATCACTTATTAGTCACTCACGATTTTATTTTGAAATGATTGATGAAATCGGACCTCGAACTTATTCGGGTAAAAAACTTGCGAACATTAATAATAATGATTGTTCATTTCAGATTTTGCGCTTGCGACAATGAAACTGCGGAACCGGAAAAAAGTAGCTGTTGTAGCTGTTCGACAGTTGTTAGCGGTCAGACAACGCATAATTCGATACCGCAAGCACTGTATTCTTCTAGCTGCATTCATAATCCTCAGTACAACAAATGTCTTGTCGCCCAAGTTACAGCTAATACAACTCAGGCATTCTTAACCCTTCATTTCAATTGATCCCTTTCACGTTTGATTTTTTGAGAATCAAAACTGTTTGTTTTACAGAATGTGCTGTACATAGAAATTAGGATTGGCCAGCATCATTTGACATATCCGCCGTACCAGTCAATTACAAATTCCAGATTCAAAAACACCGCTTTGTTGTCATGCTCCAAGGATACCAACTGCCAGAACTGTATTCCCTGCAAAAGTGGATTCATCCAGTAAATATAAGCCATAATTGCACTTAACTTTTGGTCATACATTCCGGTACATCACAAGAATATCACCAAAATTAGTTCTGCTTTTGTATAAGCTTAGTATTTTTATATGATTTAGGCTCAACTACATCAGTTTGTCCAGTGTCTCATTAACTGATTCAAAGCAGCCATACTTGTCAGCTATTAGGCCACTCGACAAAACGGAACGATGGCCAGCCAAATCATCAAGAAAACTGTCCTTCACAGAAATAAACATAGAGGATTTTGATAATGTGAGTTTCGAATTGAAAAGTTTAGAGACCAGCAGATTTTTTTTTTCTTGATGTTAATACTCAGGGTCCTAACATCACTCCTTGAAAATCCTCTAAAAAATAGAATGATTGCAGTAATTATGTTTAACTGCGAACCGTTTTGACCGCATCATGATTAAACAAGTTCTGCAACTTGCACTCTATATTCATCTCATCTCAAGGCCATTTAAGTGCAAGGTGACAAATGATAGTTATCCATTCTTCATATCGCTGCTGAATAAACTTCCATTTAGATTGCAAAGATCAAGAAACGCTTACTACAAAGCGCCATAAAGCATCATTTACTACCTTCGCAGTTCAATATTGCAATCTACAAGGATGCTGTAAGATTTTCTTCTTTCTAACAGTATAATTCGCTTTCTTTAACAAATACCCCAATCAAGTTTCTACTTATACACTGTTACTATGGCACAAATATATACACGTATGTGTAAATACACGTCTGTGTTCAATACTGTATGCAATGGCTATGTCAATACTTATATCTTTCAGCTTTTTCAAATTCTCTGATGATCAAAAGAATGGTAGTGGTTCATAGTATTATGTGGGAAATCTACTCTACAATGGGAGTGTGTTGTTAAGCAGCAGTTAACAGTAGTGCATCACTTTACTAAAAAAAGAAAAAAAAGGTTGAAAATCAAGCAATTTGCAGAGTACATTATTGATAAATCAGAGATGACGCGCCTTCAATTGAAAAGATCATTACTACAAACAGTAGTGTATTTTAATATGGACACACTACTACTATTCCTATGCACACCTATTCTGTGTGTGTGTGTGTGTATATTTGTGTGTGGGTGTGTGTGTATAATGGCAGTATGATTATGACGAAATACAGAAAACATCTGTGCATACCTGCCTCGGAAAATGCATTGAATTTGCGTTTTCCGTTGTCATTGTCCGTGTTTTTTCATTAGTTTTGAGTATTCTGCAAAAGATGGGTAAAGGTCTCATCACTTCTCTTGAAATGACATTGGGACGTTTAATCTAATTTCCATGGCAATTTCCTGAAGTTGGGGATCGCGACAAAATGTACAGCCCAATAAACACAAAAAAGTGGTGAGGAAGGTAATAGAAAGATGAATTTTTAAAGATTTATTTACTACTTAGTATTAGGCTTTTCTTTTAATTACTAGTCCTTAAAGTTCTCTTGCAAGCATTGCCACTTCGTTCTCCTTTCTCCCGCTTCCCACATACCATGGATACCATGGTAAAAGTGTCAAGTTATTCCAGTCACAGAATCAGTGGACTTGGTTAACGATTGAGCATTTTTTCTTGTGGTGTAAGTCAAAAGCATATGAGATGAAGTAGTAGTGAAACGCTAAACTATTGTTTCTTCTTACCTTCATAAATCCTAATTAAGTATTGTAAGACCCCAACTGACACAACTATTTCTTCTCTTCTTGCAGCTCGTTACTCGGCACAATGTTTACCGTAGCAAACATGGTGTCGGTTCGCTTGAAGCCAACAGTAAACTTGAACGGATAGCTGAAGTGTGGGCACAAAATTTAGCTAGCAAAGCGGATTGTTTGATACACGACCCATCAAAAAGGTTATTTGTACCATAATCCTTGCCCTTTTTCCTTGTTCCATGTTACTTGGAATAACACTCTCCCCTGACTATGTCGACGTAAGGGCAAAGTTGAATATAGTGTTATCAGCGAATAATTTAATTGTTGATAGGTATGGAGAAAACTTATACTACTACGCGGCGAATTTATTGCCAGACGAAGAAACTATGGCACTATTGACTGTACAAAGCTTCTATCTTGAAGCGCATGGATATAATTATAAAACGTCAGTTACTACAGAACTGTACTTTAAGAAAGAAGTATAACTGTCCAATCATCTAGTGCATCGCGCTTTTTAAATACAACTAACTGGGACATCGAGTATTGGCTTTTTGGAAAAAACTCATAATGCCAATTTTCAAGCCTTACATTGCTTGGCTGATCTTGCTTGAATCTTCTAGGACATACATGGTCTGTCAATTTAATACCCGGATTAGCAGTACTGTAATTCATGCACTAACATTTATCATTCAAGTGATGCTGTACAGAGGTGTCCACAACACCTCAAATACAGAGTGATATGTAAACTCCATATATATATATATATATATATATATATATATATATATATATATATATATA